CACGGACCGCGAGATCGTGACCTGGCTGAAGTCGGACGCTTAACCGACTGTGCCACCCAGGCGCCCCCCAAGATGTATTTTAAAGAGATATATATGTAGATAGTAAAAACGTAATTAACTTTATTTTTTTCAAGAGATAAAAATAAATTTTAAATAGTTTATAGCTATCCTTTATCATATATAAACTACACAATTACAAACCGCATCCATCACACAACTACATTCCATCAACAAATACTTATTGAATGCTTACCACACTCAGGCAAGTTTTGAGGGAGTCAGTGAAGAATAGAAGTACTTTCTTCATAGTGTTTACAGTCTAATTGAGGAGAGTGGGGACTTACATCAGAAAATAACCTAAACTGTCAAGACTGTGTGTGTTCAAAAAGAGTTGCAAAAAATATGTACCATAAGATCAGATTTACTGTGAACTGGAATATTCAAAAAGGCAGGCCTTGAATAGGGCTTTGAAGAAAGGGTGAGATTCAAAGGCCAAGAAAGGACATTTCAAGAAGGGTGCTTGGCTTGAGTGAATGGTGTTTTTACAGTGAGTAAGCTGGTCTATGTTCAATAAAGGGTTTGCATAGGAAAGTTGCAGGAACAGACTTTTAACGGTGGCCTTAGGTTGAGATGCCTCCAACAACTCAATAAAAGCAATTTGTCCTTATTCACATTATTGGCTTTAATTATGGTCTTAATGTGGTATTTTCTTAGATGAGTTTATATTTCTATTCTGTGTAATTAATTAAAATAAAAAACACAGAAATGACTATAGGATAAAATAGATTTGGTAAGAATGTTTGCCCTTTGGTTGAGAAATCTCTAATTTATCTTCGTACATGAATATTCAAGGAGACAAACATTTAATATTCATTTAGCTTAAGCTAAAGCTTAAGCTAATTAATAAATAAAGCCTAAGGGAGGTGGTTGATGGGATGTTCCAATACTCACTGTATTATAGAGCTCTTCCAGTCGGGGGATGGTAAGAAAGCGATGGAGGTTCACTCCATATTCTATTAGGAGCTTCACAAAATCCACTCGATCCATCACCAAAGCATCTAACATTGCTTGCTCCAGTGTGCCAGGCTTCAGAAGGTAGAAATACATAAGAGACATGGAGATAATTAAGAAAGCAGAAACTTGAAAAAGTAGAAATAACTAAAGAATTACACATATATTTGATCTCAATAGAGACACAACAATCATAAAATACAATTGTAGTAGAAATGTTCAGGACCTGAGTGAAGAAATAATAAAAAGTGAACTTGAAGGCACAAAAGACACCTTAAATAAATCTGTTCTGGTTCCAGAAGACTGATAATTGTAAACATCCCAAATTAATGTGTAGGTTTAATGCAATTCTAATAAAACAAAAATCAAGGTTATTTTTTTGTTGTTGTGTTCACTTGGCATGTTTTCATTTAAACTACACTGGTATCTGAATACAAATGGCAAATTAAAAACACTCATTTAATTTTATTCTGGCCTAAAACTTTACTAAAATTATAGCAAAATAATTTTTCTTAAAGAAATTAATCCACAAGAACACAGAGGTCCAGAGAGTAACATTTTGGAAGTCGGAAAGGAGATGGTCAAGTGGTACTTGACTTAGTAGTCCCCAGAATCCCCCAAGGTAAAAGTCCCCAGAAATCGAAACTGGGAAAAGCCAAGAACCAAACAGATCTCTGCCACAAAATCCTGGCAGCTTCAGGATGACATCGATGTACAAATAGTAAATTACTAATGTTGAGACCTTCCCAATCCTCTTCCCCTGTCTGACTTCCATTAACACTAGCAACAAGGCTTTTACCTTATCCAGGCAGGGGTCTAGAGGATTCTTTTCTGGTAAAGGAACTAAGAGAAAAGGCAGGAATATGCTGTCATCTCAGGTCCCCCAACAAACGGCATCCAGATCACTCCACCGTGAAGCTCAAAACTACAGCTAAGCTTCACCTAGATGCTCAGAATTTCTAAAGAGCTTTCTCTCCTCCACTCTTAAATAAAAAGCCCAGAAAAAACACACCACAAAACATCAATCAGTAAGAATCAGACAATGCAGGAAGAAGAAAACCTCAAACAAAAACAAAAGAAAAACAAAAACAAAAACAAAAAAAACCTATCAATATCCTCAGCGAAATAAGATACTACATTCAGGATGCTTTAAAAAAAAAAAAAAAAAGGCAAAAAACAAATTTGCTCCTAGAAATTAATAGTATGCTACCAGAAACAAAAAGCTCCACATAAGGCATGAAAAGGAAAATTGAGGAAATCTAGCAAAGGAAAGATATAGAAGATAAAAGATTAGAGGAGCAGTCCATAGGGCCAACATTTAAATGCTATGACTTCCAGAAAGAGAACCCAGAAAAAACAGGAAGCAAATTCCCCAGCATGGAAACATGTGATTGCTAAGTTGAAAGCATCTGCCCAGCATTATGGATATCCAGACTCACAGCAGCACGCATCATTGTGAAATCGGAAAACACTAGAAAGATATTTTTTTGAACTCCCAGAGAGGAAAAGAAATGGTGACAAAGGAGCAGAAAACAGAAAGATTTTTATTCTCAATAGCAATGTTGAATGCTGGAAGCTAAGCATTCAGAATGAGTTCTGGTCTTTAATTAAAATATCTCCAAACATGTGAGTTCTCAAAATGTTTCTTTCCCATGTGCCCTTTCTCAGAAAGCTACTGAAGGATGCACCCCCATTAAAATAAAGCAGCAAGCCCAACAAGAGGAAGGCATGGGATACAGAGAACAGGTGCTCCACTACAGGAGAGAGGCAAAGGGAATCTCCACTATGATGAAGGTAGATTCCAGCACGATAGCCCAGAACCGGGAACAGCAGGCAACCAGTCCAGATTGTAGCAGTGAGGACAGCACCACAGAGAGAAATGTTGAGAGGTCTCTAAAATAGATGAATCAGAAAAGAGCAATATGATTTGTTATTTAGAAATATGGAGATTTTGAAATATCAGTACAATCAAAAAACGTCAAAAATACTTGGGTCTCCTGGTCAGCAGGCCAAAGAACTACTGTGTTTCTTGTTGTTGTTGTTGTTTGTTGTTGTTATTGTTTTAGTGCCTTTTAGTACCATTAGCTGTTTTAAAGATGGGGCACCTGGGTGGCTCAGGTAGTTACGCGTCTGACTCTTGATTTTGGCTCAGGTCATGATCTCACTGTTGGCAGGATCGAGCCCCGCATTGGGCTTTGTGCGGACAGTGTAGGGCCTGCTTGGGGTTCCCTCTCTCTCTCCTTCTCTTTCTGACCCTCCCCTGCTCATGCACACGTGTGCACATTCTCCCTCACGTGCTCTCCCTCCTCCCTCTCTCTCTCAAAAAAAAAAAAAATTTTTTTTAAATAATGTGCATGTATTAGTTTGACTGAAAAATAATATACCAATGGTATGGTCACAACTGCAATTCTTAAAAACGAAATGTTAATGGTGATTATCATTAGCACGATGGATAATCTTTCTTCCTTCACTTTTTCGCTGTTTTCACTTATTTCTATGGTGAGTACATTTTATTTCAAAAATAAGGAAAACTTCAAGTTTGAAATCACAATATAAAAATCTGGCCGTAGAAAAAATAAATAAAATATGCTTCCATTCTTTCTTTCTCCCAACTTGGTTTGCCAGTTTCAATCAGGCTGCAGAGCCTGAGGGGGAAAGACACGTTTTTAGGGAGACAAAGTTGATGAGAAAAATGTCTCCGGTATCCTGGGGACCCAGCTATTGCAATGCTACCTCCACACCCCTCCCAAACCAATCTATCTCTCCTCCATTTTTTTTTTTTTTTTGGCCCTCCCTTACAAGCCAAATATTTTTCCCAAATAACTTCATTCTCACTATACCTTCCAATGTTGTCCATAAGTTAGGATATGTTTCTTGGCAATGTCCATTCTGTCCCAAGCCATTGCCAGATTTAATTGTTCTGATGCTGCTAAATTTGTGCCTAGGGTAAAGAAGGGAACAAGCATAGATCCTATTTAAAATATCCACATAAAAAATACTGAGTTCCACGGAACGTGAGAAGAGGAAATGAGGAAGACATGTAACCCTCATCAGACACTCACCTTTTAGCAGAGCTGTTAGGATTACTAAATCAAGGTCTGGTGACTCCTCAGAATCAGCATCAAATATGGTCATCTATAGCAGTTGAAACACAGAAAGCCACACATTTTGGGAACTCATAAAGAAATGGTTTCAAAAAGTACCCACAAAATGCATTCTAGAGCTAATGACTTGAGCAAAACATTAATGTAAAAAACCACATAGGGTTAATCTCCTTGATTTGTTACTTTCCCTTTTTACTCATAGAAAACTTTTTAAATAGGGTAATAGAGAATTGTGGAAGCTCAAGGGAAAAAAAAATGTAAAAATTCCATGTATCCTACAGGAAACACATGAAAAAACATGACTACACTAAATTTACTATGGATACACTATAATGAAAAGAAACTCAGTGTCAATTCCTTTTAAAAAAATTTTTTTTAATGTTTATTTATTTTTGAGAGAGAGAGAAAGACAGAGTGCAAGCAGGGGAGGGGCAGAGACAGAGGGAGAGACAGAATCTGAAGCAGGTCCAGGCTCTGAGCCATCAACACAGAGCCCAATGTGGGGCTCAAACCCATGAACTGTGAGATCATGACCTGAGCCAAAGTCAGACACTTAACCAACCGAGCCACCCAGGAGCCCCTCGGTGTCAATTCCTAATGCGAAAAAAAAAAAAAAAAAACAAAAAAACAAAAAAAAACAAAAAAAACCCCATTCCTTTTGAAGCAATACCATATGACATCCTTCTGTTCACGTAGCCTGAGAAACTAAAATTTTTGCTTTTTTCATGAGAAGTGAATCCTCAAGGATTTTTCATAAAATTAGTGTGGCAATTACAATGCACCCAGTGAGTAACTACAACGGATGGGCACAGCCAGTCTTCACAATGTCAATGTCCAATGCATCCGGACATGAGACTGATTTTTTTAAGACAAATAAGGATTTTATTTATGATTATAAAAGGCTGCTTGCTGTTAAGGAATGTATCTCAAGCTTTCTAAATGCAAATATACTTTATATAGTAAAGGGAACTATTTGGAAAAAAAGAGCTAAGTCTGGCAAGCCCAGAAACGCCACCAACTAGTGAGTTTGAGGGAAATATCTACAGGCCACTGAACCTCAGGTTTCTCATCTACAAGGTGAGAGGAACCCACTAAATAATCTCTAAGGTCCTGTAAAGATAGAATAACAATGCTTCCACAATTCAGATGCTTCCACAATTCCCTCCAACTAACAGCCCCTTTATGTGCATGAATAAAATCAACTCTCAATTATGCAGGAGTCGAGGACCTAATTCCTAAGATGTGCAAACCCATCGCTGACTACTCTTGCCTCCTCTTTGATCGTTACACTGTTTGTTACTCTCTTTGATGACAGGAAGACACAAATAGAAGGGTGATCTCTTTAAGGTGTCCTTTCCTTACTGAGTACTGTGGGAGATATCAAATGTAGTAGGCCACGCACAAAATTTCAACTCTGAGCCCCATTTCAGTTCTATCATTCTATAACTGCTGACTCTGTGCAAATCACATAAATTCTCTAGGTTTTAGCTTTGGCATCTCTGAAATTGGAATAAACAGTCACTGCCATATTGCACTCACTCATGGTTGTTATGTTTGTGGTTATTAGGTCAACTGACACCTTTAAAAGTGTTTTTCACATATGTTTATCCATGCTTTGTCCAGCCTGAATTTGTTCAATTTCTTTGTCTGAGGCCAGGTGCTTAAATATTACTAAAATCTTGTGTGATTTGGCCTAGCTTTTGAATTGTGGAAAGATCACTGTGAATCATGACATATTTGCATGTTTACTATACCTGTTGGCTTTATATCATCTAAGTCATTGATAAAAATCTTGATCAAAGTACCCTAAAACACGAAAATCTTTTCACGAGTCTATATTATGTTTACAGTCCATAGTTTGTGGTCTCCATTTTCTGGCCCAGAGTAAATTCCCACATTTCCCATTGTTCAGTACATCCCCAAAGATCTCCTACATGATTTACTAGGATGTTATGATGCAGTCACCTAAGCCAGGAGAGAACACATGGAGCTATGCTTTTACCCTCTGAAAATATTTATGTGTGATCATCACTAAATGTGCTCACTCTTCCGTAATACTGACATGTTGGTTTTTCTCCTAAGTGCAGTCTGAAATGTGAAGCATTGTAGGGAGGTGGGGAGGGCAGGGAATAAAAAGCCAAGTTGACTCAAATAAGGGTGAAGTTCTCCAGATCTATATACAATCAAAGTAAAATTAAAAACTCCTTATTTTGGGGGCACTTTGCTGGCTCAGTTGGAAAAGCATGTGACTCTTGATCTTGGGGCCATGAGTTTGAGCCCCACACTAAGTGTAGAGATTACTTAAAAAGTAAATATTAAAATAAAATCTTAAAAAAAGAAAAAAAAAACCCTTAGTTTTAAATGTTGCGGAGGGGTGCCTGGGTGGCTCAATGAGATGAACATCCGACTTCAGCTCAGGTCATGATCTCACGGTTTGTGGGTTCGAGCCCCGAGTCAGGCTGTGCGCTGACAGCATGGAACCTGCTTCAAATTCTTTCTGCCTCTCTCTCTCTGCCCCTCCCCAACCTGCTCACTCACATACACACATGCACGCTCTCTCAAAAATAAATAAACAATAAAAAAAATAAAAGTTTTGGAAACAAATATTACAAATGATGCAAATTACGAGTTGTAAAGTTGGTAAAGTTACCAACTCATCATACTCACAGAATCCCTGTGCACCATACACTCCATGAGAATTTGAAAAAGGTGCTTGGACTGCTTAAGACTAAAGTTGAAAGTGCTCTGAATCATGCAGATGATCTCCTCCTTCACCTGAGGACGTAGGGTCCTGGGAAGAGAGAGAAATGGTAATGCCTTGGCGCAACACAGAGAAGAGAACGAGCCAAACACTTCAGTGCAGGAACCCTTGTCTGTCCCATCCGACTGAAAAGGTTTCTGTAGATGCTTCTGCTCTGAGAGCAAATGAGGAGGAAGCAAAAGGAAGCAGGGCACCTGGAGAGGCTGAATTTGAAAGTGAGCGTGAACAGATCCACCATGATCCTGGAAAGAAGGCACTCCAGGACAAGGTTCTCGAGCTGACAGATTTCCAGGGGACTGTGCATCGCCAGAAACTGCAGGCATCATATCGCAAAGAATCTGACACTCCAGAAGGTTTAAGAAGCACACATTTAGGAAAGAGACACACGGGAAAGAATAAGAACAGGGTCAAAGCGTAGAAGTAGAGGCTAGGGGCTGAGGGGAGAGAGGGAGTGTAAGGAAAGGGTCGTCAGAGCATTTATACCATAAGCAGTGAATACACATTTACTGTGTAAACTGGTGGGGCCAACATTTAGCTCATAGGCATTATATTTACTTACACAGAAGAAATATTATGCTTTTGAAATTGGAAAAATCACACCGGATATAGGCATGCCTAGAGAAAAACTACCTTTTTATTTGAAAAGGCTAAAGAGTTAAAGCCTCAAATAAATATAACATATGTTATATAAATGCCAGGATGCTGATTTCCCCCAATTCCTGCTATTTTTACTAATGGCAAACGAATCTGAAGGTGATCGGGGGGCCAGCACTGGTCTCCTCAGTCACCACAGGGTTTTCTCAGCTATCAAGGCCAACTGCAGGAGTGTCTCCTCTCTCAACAACACCCCCCACCCCCACCCACGCCCGGATGCTTTTTCCCTTGAAGCTCAGACAGGGTTCAAGAGCCCCTGATAGAGGCAGGACCATTCTTCAGCTATAAAAAGAGCAACTTGCATCAGGGGAGAGCATTTTGGCATTAATTAATACACAGAAAAATCACTGGAAAGTTAATTCCAGTCTCAGCCTCTGCCCCCAAGGATATCTGGCCCACATAAAAGCAGAGCTTAAAGAACTAAAATGGAGGAATAAACAGTCACCGTGGCTTAAAAACTGAGGAGTCAGCAACTCACCCTTCGTCTGCTAAATGTTTGTGGGTGAAGGCCAGGAGGTCGGCCGCCCTGCCTGTGCCTTCACACACCACCACCGGGTCTTTGTCTTTCACAGTCTCCCACACCGCGAGGATGACATTGGGACCTCCTTCTACCACCAGCCCCACCACGGGCACGCCTTGTCTTGAACCTATTTCAGATGACAGGCAACACCAAACTGTTACAAAGAACTCCTATCTTGGCCAGGCATCCATTTTGCTTTCCCCGACACCAGTCTTTCAATTACCACATAAACCTTTTACTTACACTCACCCCTCTTTCTTCCTGGACTCACCCAGGCTTGCTTAGTTCAAGACCAAGCCAGAAGCTTGGACTGTCAATAAAGTCACTTAAATGTGGTGTGAGCATCTTCAAGCTTTCCCCCGTTAAAAAGGTACCTAAACGTCAGGCTCTGGGCTGATGGCTCAGAGCCTGGAGCCTGTTTCTGATTCTGTGTCTCCCTCTCTCTCTGCCCCTCCCCCATTCATGCTCTGTCTCTCTCTGTCCCAAAAATAAATAAAACGTTGAAAAAAAAAATTAAAAAAAAAAAAAAGGTACCTAAAGGTTTTCACTAATTACAAAACAAAAAACAAAAAACAAAAAACTTTTTAAGTTTTTTTTTTATTTTAAGAGACATAGAGAGCAAGGGAGGGGCAGAGAGAGAGAATCCCAATCAGGTTCCTCACTGTCGGCAACAAGCCTGATGTAGGGCTCGAACTCACAAACCATGAGATCATGACCTGAACTGAAGTCAGACGCTTAACCAACTGAGCCACCCAGGCGCCCCTAATTTAAAAAATAATTTTTTTAAGTAGTCTTCAAGAAATTTCAACTTCTCATTGTGTAAACTTCAAACATATCTTGAAAAAAAAAAAACAGAAATATAATGGATCCCAATGTATCTATCACTCACCTCCAAAAATGATCAAAATTTGCCAGGTCAATCAACTTCTAAGGATGATTATTTCTAAGTACAAGATGGGATGGGTAACTCTCAAAGACTTTTATACTTCAACATATTCTATTTTTTAAATGTATTCCACTGTTAAAATTTCTTATCACTAGGATATATTATTTTATTTTTTATTAAAGGAAGGAAGACCAAAAAAAAAAAAAGAAAGAAAGAAACAAAGACGGTGGAATCATTCTTTCTGAGAAGATATTAAGTGAAAAACAGTTACAGAATGATGTATATAGTACAATCCTTTTTATAGTTTTAAAGCCACATACATGAATATATATTCTATATATGTTTGCATTATATATATACTTGTATGATATATATGTGTATAAGTATATACCCATATATCTCTACATATATATATATGACCAGAAACTCTGGAAGGGTACACATCAAACTATTATTAATGAAGAAGGGAGGGGAGGATTTGGGGAAATGTTGAAAAAGAACCATTAATCATGGGGGCGCCTGGGTGGTTCACTCCGTTGAGCGTCTGACTTTGGCTCAGGTCATGATCTCACAGTTCATGAGTTTGAGCCCCACGCCGGGTTCTGTGCTGACAGCTCAGAGCCTGGAGCCTGCTTCAGAGTCTGTGTCTCCTTCTCTCTCTGCCTCTCCCCCACTCATTCTCTCTCTCTCTCTCTCTCTCTCCAAAATAAATAAACATGAGTAAAATTAAAAAAATAAAGAACCATTAATCATTAATTATTGAAATCTATGGAAAAAACTTTTGTGAGAGCATCTCTTATATCCTATGTAATGAAACACGATGCAGCCATTAAAGATGTGCTAAGCTATTCTAATTTCTTTTAATGTTTATTTTTGAGAGAGACAGAGAGACAGAGCACGAGCAGGGGAGGGGCAGAGAAAGAGGGTGACACAGAACCTGAAGCAGGGTCCAGGTTCTGAGCTGTCTGCACAGAGCCCAATGTGGGGCTCGAACTCACAGATAGTGAGATCATGACCTGAGCCGAAGTCAGATGCTTAACCAACTGAGCCACCCAGGTGCCCCTAAGCTATCCTTATTGATGTAGAAATGCATCCAAGTTGAAAAGCATGTATATTATATGAATCTAGTGTTTGTTTAAAAAATGTTGTTCTGGGTGTGTGTGTAGAATATTTCTAAAAGTATATATATGATAAAGTTGACAATGGTGAGGTTTTTATTGTGAGAATATGGAAAACCCTTCCTTTTCTCATGTGCTCTCTTTGCTTTATCTGAATATGAGAATATATAGTACTTTTATCATCAGGAAAAAAATCAACAAGGGGAAAGAGGGAATTCAATTTCTACTGGGTATATCTTTCTTGAAGCAATAACTATTTCCCACAAAAATAAAAATATTTATGATTGCTTCCTACCAAAAGGATCTCACTGATGCTAATTTAACTTGTTAAAAAAAGAAAAAAATTGTCATGTTCTTGCTGAGAAATCTCACTAGAGAGCTGCCTCTATTCTTGGATCCCAGAGTTAGGCAAGAATACAATTATCATGCCTCCAAATTAAAAGCTCCTGGAATGGACATTCCAGGAAAGCATGCTATTCCATTGAGAGTTGGACTATGAAGAGACACAAAGGCATCTGATCCTATGCTTTCTATCCTCGGAGGCTTAGGAACTGACACTGGCCACGTTTCAAATGGCTGAATCCAGGAATTCCTAGAGCAACTTTATGATATCAGGTTTTTTTGGTTTTTTGTTTTTTCTTTTTTGGATTTTTTGTAAGTACTCTTGGCCAGGATCAAGGGTTTGCTGGGGACTCTAAGAAGTCCAGCTGAAAAGAAATAAAAGAAATCAGCAAAATATGTAAGTATTATTCCATCCAAATAAATCTCTTTTTAAGCAATACAAATATGGTAGGAAGTAGTGAACATGATGGGTATGAAAATCAGCTTTGATACATAAGAATTTTGGGTCTGTTGGACACTTTGATTTTTTTGTCTTCCTCCCTCCCTCCCTTCCTTCCTTCATTAATCCTTTTTCTTCCCCTTCTCTCTTCTTCCTTCCTTCTCTCCTTCCTTCCTTTCCTGTGAGTGTGTGTGTGTGTGCGCGTGTGCGTGTGCGTGTGTGTATGTGTGTGTGTGTTTAGGTGGCTTACTGTTTTTGCTCCTTCATATTGGTTTCCCTTAGAATAATAAATGTTACCAATCCACTGAAATGGACTCCACATTCTTTCTCTATACGCAGTGAAACTCTCCAAATAAATCCTAAGTTTCAAGACCTTTGAAAACAGAAATCTTCCTTGACCCCATATGTAAGCTTCAGGTTGTATGCATTCATCCACAAATGGATCAGAATAAGAAAGACAAGACTTTGCTCTCCTGGGGCACACATTATGATGCTGTAGGAACCCCCTGAGCAATTTCTATGGTGAGCATAGATCAAGAGAGTAAACAGGACATTTCAGGGAATTGATATTTGTGACCCCAAAAGGAACCCTCCCTGCAGGAACTCTTCTTCAGGGCCAGTCTCTGACCTGTCGTCTCCTCTATGGGTCTTCTTTCCCCCAACCCACATCTACTCTGCAGAGGACCTGACCCTCTCTCCCCACTTCCTGACTTAAATGAGCCTCCAAGTTTCATTCACACTAAGCACAAAGTGACTGGCAACAGTTCCCAGCGTCCCTCCCACACAGAACCCCACCCCAACAAGGAGATTACCTGTATCAAAGAGGAATAAAAGGAAAGGAAGAAACAGACATTTATTAAGGGCATACTATACAGCCAAAACTATTCTAGGCACATCAAACATACATTATCTCAATTCTCACAACAAAAGGTGGAGGTAGACAGTTCCTTCCCTTTTATATTAAGAAAACAGTTTAGGGGCACCTGGGTGGCTCAAATGGCTAAGTATACAACTCATGATTTCAGCTCCGGTCATGATCTCAGGGTTGTGAGATTAAGCCCTGCATCAGGTTCCGCAAGACAGCACGGAGCCTGCTTGGTATTCTCGCTCTCCCTCTCTCTGCCCCTCCCCTACTCATGCTCGCTCTCTCTTTCTCTCTCTCTCAAAATAAATTAACTAAAAAAAAAGAAAAGAAAACAGTTTAACAGATGTAAACTCCATCAGCCAAGGTCACAGACAGTAGATGACAGAACTTTGGAATGACATTTAGCGTTTCCAGCCAAAAGTCGAAGGTTGAAGAGGACTTGAGCCTCCCAATGGCCTTTGCTCTCTGGTCTTCTTCCTCAAGGGTGAGAGTATTTTGTGAAAGATTCAACTCATGGAAAGAGACAGAGGCCCACTTTCTGCTGCCTTGGATGAAAAGTCTCCATTTCTCCAGGCAGCACCTACCTTTCAACCTCTCCACCCAAGGATGTTTGCTGATTCTGACCCTTTCCTTTCTTCTCCTTCCTATAGATACTATTAAAAAAGAGACAACAGGCCCAAAATGGAGTCCCTTGTGCTAAGCTCCAAATCAACAAATGAAGATTTAATACCTAATTGCAGTTGCAGCCTCTCCCAGGAATGTAACCTTTAACCAGTCATTCTGGAATTACATAGTTGGCACTAGGGAGGTAATTGGCATGGTAGGACCCCCACGCCCACCCCACCTTCCCCCAAAGGAAAGTGACCTTGCCCAGAACAATCCATCCTGGTTAGAATAACTCTCTTGCCACACTAACTTTTGCCTATAAAAGTCTTCCATTCTGTCCAGCTCCTTGGAATTCCTTTCTACCTGCTAGATGGGATGCTGTCCAACCGATGAATCACTGAGTAAGGCCAATAAGATCTTTACATTTACTCAGTTGAATTTTGTTTTTAAACACAACCAAAATGGCCATCTCAAGGCATCCCTGGAAGCATGACACAACACTGATACCTTCAAAGGTCCCTATCATTGTTGTTTACTTGTTACACCCATTTTTAAAAATTTTATTTAAATCCAAGTTAGTTAACATATCGTATAATTATAGTTTCAGGAGTAGAACTCAGTGCTTCATAACTTCCATATATCACCCAGTGCTCATCCCAACAAGTGCCCTCCTTAATGCCCATCACCCATTTAGCCCATCCCCCCATCTAACACCCTACCAGCAACCCTCAGTTTGTTCTGTGTATTTAAGAATCTCTTATGGTTTGCCTCCCTCTCTGTTTGTATCTTATTTTTCCTTCCCTTTCCCTATATTCATCTGTTTAGTTTCTTAAATTCCACATATGAGTGAAATCATATGGTATTTATTTATCTTTCTCTGACCGACTTACTTCACTTAGCATAATACACTCTAGTTCCATCCACGTTGTTGTTGCAAATGGCAAGATTCCATGCTTTTGATCACTGAGTAATATCCCATTGTGTGTGTGTGTGTGTGTGTGTGTGTGTGTGTATACATATATATATATACCACATCTTCTTTATCCATTCATCAGTCAATGGACATTTGGGATCTACTCAGTATTTATCCAAAGGATACAAAAATGCTGATTCGAAGGGGCACATGCACCGCAATGTTTATAGCAGCACTATCAACAATAGCCAAAGTATGCAAAGGTCTCTATTTCTAAAAGCTCTGTTTGCTTTTAACCCTTCCCTGTCTAGGGGACGTCACCACATATGAAATGCCATCCTCCCTGATGATCAAATTCATACCCCCACTCTTCTCAGTCCAGTCTAGTTACTGCTCTTTAGTCATTCCCATTCTGGTAACAATACTCCCACTACCCAACCATCCTCCACCTACCCAACCCTACAGTATGCTGGAGGCTCTGCTAAAGTCTCCACTGTTCCAGTCCTCTCCTGACTATGCTGTCTCCAAGACTTCTTCCCCTCTCCTGCCATCCACAAGTCCGCAACACCTCACATCCTGCTTTCTTCTGGCTGTGGGTTCACTCGTGTTAATTTAGGCAGAGACCAGCTTGGACCTCTCCACTCCATATGGATGACAAAGGAGTGCCTTTCTCCATAGCAGCGCCCCAGCCAGGCCCTGGTGGCTGAGCCTCTGTGGTACTCACGGCTATGTATTTTCTGTAGAGAGAGGTACTTTTCCAGGTTCCTCCTGAGATTCATCTCATTTCCATACTTGCCCACAGTCCCATCATCGGACAAGATGAAGTGGGAGTGCATGCTGTTGAGTGTGGTGAGCTTGCTGAGGGGGTTGCCCAGAGTCTGGTACAGGCACACCGCCTGGAAGACAAGAGAGGGTTAGAGTCCGAGGTCCTTCCCTGGGCTCAACTGCTCCAAAGGGCTGCCCATGCACCATGCAGTTCCTGCCACGGCTAATAAGTGCCACTTGCTACCTAGAGAGGTGTATCTCAGGCTATCCGCAGTGAAGAACCAACTCTTTTTTTTTAATCTCCCATTTTTTATGGATCGCTATGTGGTCCTACTATGTGTAACCAGTATGCGGCTCATACTACATGAGACTCACAACACAAGGACACAAGTTCAACAACCCTTGCATGCACTGTGCTCAGAAAGACAAGTCCACCGGCCATATACTTGGGTGTCACAGCACTACCACATTGCTAAAAATGGTTCTAAATATTTATTTTTAATTTCTGTACTTACCTTGTCTCAGATTGTAATAAAAGAGTTCAAGGACATACAGTAATATACAGACTACACTGCTATCCAGAAAATATGCCTTTCAATAGATCTATTCCAAAATAATTTTTTGACACTGCTTTTTTTTTTTTCTAGTATTGAAATGAAGAGTGACAGCCAACCAACCAAATGGAGATCCATCCACTCAATATAAAACATCCCGATCTTCATAAGTATTTGTGGATTCTTCCTTAAGCCACTCCAATTCTCATTTGTTTTTAGAGACGAAAAGCACACTATTTGGAGTAAGAGGGCCCAGACTCTTCTACTTCCTAACTTTAACTCTGGGTAACTCCTGCCTCCTTTCTCAGGCTTACTTGCCTCACGTCTAAGGGAGAATGATAATTCTTACACCAGAGGGTTGCTGTGAGGCTTAAAAGAAACAATGAGGTAAAAAACACTATAAATTTTACCAACATTAGTCTTTAAAAGTTACCTAAAAAACAATACACATTTTACCAACATTAGTCTTTAAAAGTTATCTTTATAATTCCTAACAGTGATACAGATGACAGAAATCAAGAAGAAAATAACTAATAGATTTAATACATCTAAAGTATCTTATCATAACATTAATATCATTTTTTATAAAAGCAAAACAAAATGGATAATAGAAGAATGGTTAAATTATAGTACTATTAAAGTACAGTACACTAGAGCATTATTAGGCATGAAAAATCAGAATGCACCTTTTACCCCTAGAATGCGGTCTTTTACTATAATTTCCCACTAAAAGCAACCAGCCATTTCTCTAGGAGCAAAACAGTATACACAATTAGCCTGGAACAGTTTTTTGTTTTTTGTTTTTTGGTTTTTTTCAGAGTAAAACACAAGGAAGCGAGGAAAAACAACTAGAATTGTGTTAAAAGGACTCAAGAGATAACTTGAAAAGTTTCCACTGGCCAAAACGGGATGAGTTGAGCACAATTAAGAGTAATAACTAGATGGAATAATGACTTGAAACATATTTGATATGTTTCAAAAAAAAAATCTCATTGTTCACCTTGAAGAATGGTAGATAACCAATTCATTGCTTTGAAAGCTGGAAAATAAAGAGAGAATCAAACATTGTGTCCTTTCCCATACAACAGTACCACAAAGTAAACCAAATGGCTGATGAGAAAATGTTTTCTTTATAGAGTGTTTAAGCTAATAAATAAAGAACACAATAATTTCATATCAGTATTTGCAACTCTGTTGAGGTCATGAATCTAGTCAATGACATTATAAAAAGAAAAACAATCATATGTTATGAGGGGGAAGGACAGACACATCTCTTATGGCATAAACTTGCACAAAAAGAACTTGTATCTAATCATACCTTTGGAACAAACTACCAAGTTGAAGAGACAAGACAGAGAAATAGGCTAAACCCTACTATAACAGGCTAAATTTGCAAAATCCAAACTATGGGGAACTCTTTAGGACAAATGACCTAGTTTCTTTTTTTATTTTTAAGTTTATTTATTTATTTTGAGAAACAGAGCATGCATGGGAGGGGCAGAGGCAGAGACAGAGAGAGAGAGAGAGAGAGAGAGAGAGAGAGAGAGAGAGAATCCCAAGCAGGCTCCACACTTTCAGCACAGGGCCCAACTCAGGGCCTGATTTCACGAACTGTGAGATCATAACCTAAGATGAAGCCAAGAGTCGGATGCTTACCCGACTGAGCCACCCAGGCGTCCTGTGACCCAGTTTCTTTAACAAACAAATTGCACCCCCCCCCCAAAAAAAAAGAGATGGAGGGAAAATCCATAGATTAAAAACGACTGAAAATAAGTGACTCAGGAGACATATCAACCCATCACATTGTAGGGAACTTTTCTGGATGATGAAATCAAACAACTAAAAAATATGACACAATCAGAATGTTGAACGTGGACTAGCTAGTTGTTGATATTCAGAAATTAACTATTAATTTTTTTAGGTATGAAAATGGTAATGTGGTTATATATATTTTTAATTGTCCATATATTTTAGAATGCCTACTTTTTGGTACTTAGAAATACCAAATTATTGGTAAATTAATTGGTTAATTAGAAATACTGGTAAAATATTTACCAATGATGTTATTTAATACCTGGAATTTGCCTTAAAATATTGGAGTGGGGAGTAGATAAGGAATAGATGAAACAAAATTGGCTCTGGGCTCATAACTGTTGAAGCTGGGAGATAGGGACATAGGAGTTCATTATTTTCACAACTCTACTCCTTAATATGTTTGACATTTCCCAAAATGAAAGTTAAGATAAACCATATACATGTTTATATTAATTTACATAGAGAAGTAATTATGTTAAATAATTAAGATAAATACCAGATTCATATCAGTGGGTTTCTGTTACTACTTTTTTTCATACAAACTGTTTCTTATTATGCATATGTACACATACGTAGTAAAAATTCTGGAATGATACACCCCAAAATGTTAATAGCGGTTATCTTTCCTTTTCATATCTTTTGTAATACCTGAGACTTTTATCAGAAATACACACTACTCATAAACAGACTTAGACAAGTTCCTTCCCTTTAGAAAAACAGATGGGATCAAAGAACCAATACATAGGATAAAGCAGAGAGTAGTACAAGATAAGGAAAGAGCAGGTTCACGTCATGAATGTTATCACATGCACGCCTGTGCAAGACACTCGGCTATTACTCTGAACCAGATAGGAGCCACTGAAGTGTTTTTCACAGAGAAGTGGCACGATCTGAGTTGTATTTTGGAAGCATCATCCTGGTTACTGTGTTGAGATTAGATTGCAGTGAGAGACAAGGATGAGAGAAGGGAAAGCTATTACTACAGTCATCCAGGAGACAGGAAAGGGGGCTGCTCGGTAACAGTGGAGGTAACAGAAGAGGTCAGATTCTGGATATATTTCTATATTTAAGTAAAGCTAAAAAAGGGGCGTGGGTGCCTGGGTGGCGCATTCAGTTGAGTGTCTGACTTGATTTGAGCTCAGGTCATGATCCCAGGGTTCTGAGATCAAGCCCCGTTTCTGGCTCTGCACTGAGCACAGAGCCTGCCTAAGATTCTCTCTACCTTTCCCTCTGCCCCTTCCCTGCTCACATGTGCAGGCACTCTCTCTCTCTCTTTCTGTAGAAAGAAAGAAAGAAAGAGAGAGAGAGAGAGAGAGAGAGAAAGAAAGAAAGAGAAAGAAAGAAAGAAAGGGAGAAAAAAGAAAGAGAGAGAAAGAAAGAAAAGAAAAGAAAAGAAAAGAAAAGAAAGAAAGAAAGAAAGAAAGAAAGAAAGAAAAAGAAAAAGTGAAGCTGAGGTAATTTACTGATGGATTAGGTTGAGTTGTGAGACAGAGATCATTCTAGGATTAGTCTAAGGCTTTTGGCTTGAACAAGTGTAAGGATGGGATCATTACTTTCTAAGATAGGGCAAGTAGGAAGACCAAAGTTGGTTTGAGGTATATTACATTTGAGATGGCGTTTAGATATCCAGGTGGTGCTAAGTTGGCAATTGGATACACGTTCATCCCCTTCTGTTGTGAATGGGTTGTCTACTCACATCTTTTCCAATAAGATCTCTCTGGTTCTCAATGACACCCCAAGGAGGGATTCCAACTGTCCAGATTTTTCTCAAGGACCGGAAGGAATGGGCTTTCAGGGCATCCCCAACATGTTTGGACACACCTATGCACAATCAGTTTAAAAGTCAAACTTTTATGCACAAATCACGCAAAACACTGTGACTGCAAGAAAGGGACAAATGGCAGATATTCGTAGGGAATATACAAAAGGACATTCGCAGGGAAAGTTGTGACGCAGTGGAATTAATTTCTGATATCTTGGCTTCCTCTACTCTCTCTTAACACCTCTTTCTCCTATCACTGACCTCTTTACCTGAATAATTCTCCTCTCCCTTTGGGTAAGTTTTGCTTACAAAACCTCAGTTCTTCCCCTATTTTTGATTGACCAGAAAGTCTTATGAGACCATCATGAATGTTCTAAATGGTTTTTTTTTTTTCTGTAACCTTCTCAACTGTCCCAGCAAAACATCCTGCAGATGTGTCCCTTGCTTCACTGAAGCAAATTAATTTAATAGCTTATATACATAAGTATGCCAGCATGAATGCATTCATACTTGCCCTTCTGGAATTAATAATAACAATAACTATAAAAGCCAACACTTACTGAACTCTTACAATGCACCAGGTACTTTTAAAGTGTTTTCCATGTATTCACACTTTAAGTAGAAACTTCAGTCTATTTTATAGGCAAGAATTGAATCATAAAGAAGTTAAATAATTTGCCCAGGGTTATAGAGCTGGTAATTTGTAGAGCTAGGATTCCCACCCAAAATATCGGACTTTTCTTTTTTAAACAGACTTTGTTTTTTAAAGCAGTTTTAGGTTCACAGCAAAATTGAGCCAGTGGTACAGATTTCCCATGTACCCCCCCACCCCTACACACCCACAACCCCTGACCACTATCAACATTGCCCATCAGAGTGGTACATTTGTACCACTGATGAACCTATACTGACACGTGATTATCACTCAAAGACCACAGTTTACATCAGGGATTGGTGCTGTCGATTCCATAGTTTGAACAAATACACAATGATATATTTCCATCATTATAGTATCAGACAGAACAGCATCACTGCCCTAAAAATTGTCTGCATTCCACTTATTCACTCCCCCCGCCATAACCCCTTGCAACCACCGATCTTTATACTGTCTCCAGTTTTGCCTTTTGCAGAATATCTTAAAGTGAGAATCACGTGGTATGTAGCCTTTGACATTGACTTAATCTGCCTTTTAATTACAACGCTGTGCCACTTACTCTTCCTATATATATAGTTTTGACCCTATCTGTGTCATTAGCACAGAAACAAACAAACACTCTACATATGCACACATCTGATGCACAGTACCTAATCATTTCTCCCTCTCTCTCTCTCTCTGGCATCTTCCCCTCCAACCTCTTTTACTTCTCCCAGAGTCATTTTCTAGAATCCAGGTCCTGGATGTATATCACCATCAACTGTGCAGTCAACTCTGCAGTAGGGTTTTGGATCCCATAGGTTTGGCATGGGTTATCAGCATTGTGGTGCTGCTGGTTGTATTTCCACATCCCACAGGTGGTTCTAGTACAGATTGTCTATTGAGACTCTCTGTAAAAGCCAGACCCGACTATATTATTTCCTATTCATTCTCCTGTTCAAATTCCTTTGAGAGCCTTCTGCTCTCAGCCCATCAGCATGGCATCTAGTATGGCTCCAGTCTCCCTGGTTGTCCCTGTCCTCTGCCGCAAGGCATACCCAGCCTGTAGCCTTATCACCTCTTTCTGCATGTGCCTTAAACTCCAGCTGTGTGCCTGGCCCTGAACGGCCACCTCTGCCTAGCATGCTCCTTCCTACTCTTCCCTCAAGGTCAATACCAAGTGCTATATCCTTGTCTATGCCTTCTCAGGTGCCCTCAGCTGGAACTGGAATGCGTCTTCCTCTTCCCTGTACTCCCAAATATATATATATTATATAATTTATATATAGCATAGTATATATGCAAGGAGATTCTTGTAGCTTGTGGCCTTCAATTGAATGCCAAAATTCAATTAAATGTCAAAAATTCACGCCAGATAATGTTCAACTACAGTAGAAGCAGCTCAAGAATAGGCAGAAGCTGGAAGGAAACCTTCTCAAATTTGAATGTACATAAGAATCATCTGAGGATATTGTCAAAATGGAGAGTGGCAGTCCTGCGGGTCTGGGGAGGTATCTGAGATCTGCGTTCCCAACAAGCTCCCCGGTGGTCCTGATGCTGCTCGTTCATGGATCCTTCCCTGAGCAGTCAGGCCTTAAGGAGCTGTGGTTGAATTGGGGCCGACCCTGATTATTGCGTAAGAAAGCTCCAAGCGTGTCTCGTTTCTCAGTTCTTTTGTTCATCTGAACGAATTCAATAGTCTTCACATTATCGTATTTGTGTTCCTTAACTGGCCCTAACCTGAAATGTTTTTAAAAAACAAACCAAAAAAGCAGTAAGTAAAATAAAGCACATGTTGTTAAAAAGGGAAACCACAGGCCCAAAATGGAATCACTTAGGCCAAGGTATCACACTGGGGCTTAGTACCTAACTGTAGTGCCAACCTCTCCCACCCCCGAAATGTAGTCTTAACCACTCAGTAAGAAAGTTTCTGATCAGCACCAGTGAGGTAATCTGTCACAAGGACTCTCCCCCTCCCCTTCCCCACCAAAGGAAGATGAGGTAATCTGCATGAAAGGACCCCCTCCCTTGCCCCCCTGAGGGAAGGGGACCTAGCCCGCCACAGTCCTTTCTTTACTTTTGTTAATAACTTCCTTGCCCCACCCTCCTTCCTATAAAAACCTTCCACTTCATACATAGTCCCTGAGCAACTCTTTACTTGTGAAACGGGATGCTGCCCAATTCGTGAGTTGCTTAAGAAAGACAATTCGATCTTCAAATTTGTGCAGCTGTATTTTTGTTGTCAAACTTGACCATGGGGAGTTTAGCTCTTGCCCATGGCCACACACTACATACTTGCATGGATTCCGTGTCCTTTCAAACCTCACCATAGCCTCAAGTTCATGAAAAGACTTTTTTGTTGAAGTTTACCCAAAGTTGTGGTAAAATAGCAGATGTTAACAATGGTGAAAACACATACTAGGAAAGGTCTATGATTCTTCTGGGTTTTTTTTTGTTTTTGTTTTTGTTTTTGTTTTTGTTTTTGTTTTTGTTTTTGTTTTTGTTTTCCGGTCACCATGCTTTTTGTTTGACTCGCACTACCATATCCGCGGGGAGCACTGCAGAGCACAGATTAGGTGCCTTGCTGCCTGATTCAGTTAGAAAGAGGTATTAAAAAAAAAAAAAAAAAAGGAAAGAAGAAGAAGATGAAAAGAAAGAGAAACAGTGCACTTTACCGGTATTAATGCCTTCAGTTATTATCCATGCTCCTGTTGTCTCCGCAGCTTTGACCAAACCTTGGCTGAAGATCTCTTTAAGCTTAGACGGCATCCTGAAGTTCTGGATGCCCCCGTGGACAGAGATCACCAGTTTGGGCAGTTCCATCTTCCACTCTTTCAACATTAAATGTAATAGATGATCTGCCTTTGTATCATAAGATGTTCTAATATACTGGAAGATATGCATAGACACATGTACATAAAACAGTGAAAACGACATGCCGGGCAACAATAAGCACACAGCAGGGCGACTGGAATGGCCCAAACTTAAAAGGAAGTGTCTGGGATTTCTGTAAAAGTTCATCTTTGTACAATGTAAACATTTACTTTGAAAGGATCCCACACCCCGCTTTAAGTTCCTTCTGGGAATTACAAGTCACGGTAGGAAGGCTTCCTCTGGTTTTCAGGGTTGACCCACCAATGTCCTCTAGAAGATCTGGGATGAGGCAGAAATACTTCAAACTGGCAAAAACCACTACTCCAGGAAACCCATTTTAAAAAAAAGCATTTACACAGAGGTGAAATGGGGTTTTTCATACATGGTATGGCCTTTGATTTACTTGACGATTTCATAAATTTGCATCATTTAAATTAAATTATGGTCTGGGAGCATGTACATTTAATTTATTGTAAATTTTATATTCTAAACATTTCCTTTATATATAATTATCTCTCTGAAAATGTCTTTTTCCAAAATAAATACTTTTCACAAAAGAATCACATCTTTGACTAGTCAATGTAACCAAAAGAAGAGAGAATCTGAATCAGCAGGTAGGACCAGAATCATTTTGTGCTTTGCCTAAGATCATAGTGTATAACCGGTTCTCTTTTTCCGGCAGAAACAGCCACACACAGACTGTGAAAATCACATTAAGAGGAGTTTGCCATCCTCAAGCATAAGCCGGCCAACAGCAAGAATAAGTCAGATTTATAGGAACGAGGGCACTAAGAAACCATGAATTAGAAAACTACACCAAAAAGAACCACAGGTGGAGACCTTCCTCCATATGAAATAGAATTCTCACATTATCTTCCAGGATGTGATAGTGACTTAAAACAACTGTCCATTCATCTTTGAAATTCTTAAAACATAATCTCTTTATTAAAATGTTAGAATTTCTGAACACCGAGTTGGTACAGCCATCACAGAATGTAATAGAACCTAAGGATAATCAGGATTCAATTTACAGGTGAGGGAAATGAGTTGCCATGGCTTCTTACATATTCACATGGTAGGAAAAAATACAAGTTGACCTTTGTGAAATGGTTTGTGTTGCTCTGAAACATGAATAAAGGTAGAGGAGGCGGCTCTAATGTGGTTCACCTTCTCTCTACCTCAACTCTCCTGGGTGCCTCTCTCTTTCATCTAGAAGTCCTTTTAGTCCTAGCAGATATTTCTCCTAGAGATTTCAGATAAACAACTTTGATTAACTAAATTATCAGCACTGGAGTCTTTTCTTCCAAAGGCCAACCGAAGATGATGCCAAAGGTTAATGACTTACTTTCCCCCCACCTCCTCCTTTATAACTAACTGGGCAGATTCTTACTGGCATAGATTCTTCTCAAATCCTCTGTGGAATGAGGTGGGCGGGATAAACTGGGAAGGGGAATGCAGCGGAGGGAGAAGAATAACCAGCTCTCACTGCTTTCCTGCCTCTCGCTGTAAACACGAAGTGCAGCTCTGGTATTAAATATGAAAGGTAGATTCTTCTCTTCTGAGAGATCACATAAAATGCATTCCAGGTACTTAGGATGTAATGAAGTCTAACGCTAAGCCTAAAATCTGTTAGTGATCAGGAGATCTGTTGAACCATATTTGCAGTTCTCCTAAATGTACCATACTCTCCCTTGGCCTTCCCACCAGCCCAGAGCGGTCTTACCCCTCTGCCTCACCAGACACCAAACACCTCACTCACCTTTCTGATATCAGCTTAGCTGTCCCTACTTCCAGATGGCTTCCTTTACACACACACACACACACACACACACACACACACACACACACCCAGAAAAACAAGAGTTACCCTTTTCATTCTCTAGAAGAACCCTGTATTCCCATCCAGAGCATCCCTGCACCACCCCCCTCCCATGGAACAGATGCTCCCTGGGGCTTAGCAAAGTGGGAGCACCAATGAATATCTCCCAAATGGATGGAAAAAAATGAGCAAATCAAGGTGATTTGATTATGAATGAACATAAAAGCAAAAGGAGGTAGATTAAACTTAAGGGGACATTTATATACGGGGTTCTCGAAGAGTCAGCTTCCAGAAAGGATTGTAGAGGAGGATGAGTGCAGTTTTCCTACCAACTAAAGAAAACTTCAACATACAACACTAAACACAAGAGGATTAATAACCGGAAAAGTAGATTACTGTAAAACTCTATTATGAAGCTTGATTATGACTGCATCATTAAGAACTGTTGTTTCAGATTCATTCAGCTGAAGGTCACACTCCAGGATACAGTTGATTCTAAGCTTTCCTGAGGTGGAATCCTCTGCAGGTTCCCAAGGGAAATCTGCCTCTAATAAAACAGGTGATTAACAAGCACAAGGAAAAACACCTGAGAGATGCCTGACCTGTCAGAACTATGCAAATTACATGCAAAGTCCATATTAGAACAGGAGGAAAACTGGCCTGGAAAGCCCAAGGACTATCATTCAGGGGGTACAGAGAAAAATTCCCCCACTTCCTCTCATGAGGACTTGGCAGGCATGAACAGCCCCAAGTTACTGGTAATTGCTACGGTCATGCTTCAGCTAAAGGCTGCTCTTTGGCAGTGACTTTTCTCCATTCCTTAAAAACAGGGCAGTCCTTTCTCAAGAGCAATAAGCCATTCTCCTATGCGGAAGGCATAACCACGCTGAAAGAGGTCAAATAAAGACCTGGCCATACCACACCCTGGAAAGGTAGAATGCCCTCAGACGTAAAGGAAAGAGAAGAGTCAGGTCATTTTTGGGAAGAGGTCAATACCATGGAACACTTTTGCAATAAAACCTGGTCATCTGATCATCTACACTTGGAGATACAATTGGGAGAAACATTTGGTGGTTACTTTCTGTTAAAAACTAGCAAAACGGGGTGCCTGGTGGCTGAGTCAGTTGAGCTTCTGACTTTGATTTTGGCTCAGGTCATGATCCCAGGGTCATGGGATCGAGCCCTATGTCAGGCTTCAGGCTAACTGTGCAGCCTGCTTAAGATTCTCTACCTCTCTCCCTCTGCCCCTCTCTCCCCTATTGCACTCTCTCTCTCTTAAACAACAACAACAACAACAACAACAAAGCTAGCAAAATAATGTGTTATTAGCAAACCTTGGAGTGGTGGGTATGCTCTCCGTCTTGAAAATTAATAGTGCCAAACGTATCTGTAGGGCTTTTCGTTGTGTGCTTTTCAACAGACCATTGCTCATTTTCATTACCATTGGCAGCTGAGATAGTCCAGGAATAATCTATCCCATGATGGTCTCCAATTAATCGCCCACAGTAACACCTTAAATATGGGATAAAAACCAGTTTCAGAATAGAAAACTACACAATATCAAAATAGAAAATAGATGTAATGTTTCTACATTTTTCTAGGTAATATATAGATGATACAAATGAACAATTTTTGAAATTCCACATTAATATTTTATATTATATTTATATCATTAGATTGTCTTCTGAGTTTAGAAATACCCTCAGTGGTTCTCTCCCTTGGCTGCACATTAAAATCATTTGGGGAATGTTTTAAAAAAAAAAAACACCAAAAATCTTGTGCACACCCATGTTCATTTAAGTATTCCAAATCATTATTCATAATCGCCAAGTGCCCACTGACAGATGAATAGCCAAACCAATGTGGCATATACATACAATGGAATATTATCTAGCCATAAAAAGGGAAGAATCCTGGATATGCTTCAATATGGTTAAACTTTGAGGATATTATGCTAAGTGAAATAAGCCAGTCATAATACAACTGCTGTATGACTCCACTTATATGAGGTACGCAGAGTAGTCAAATCCACAGTGACAGAAAATAGAATGAATGGTGGCTGCCAGGGGCTGGGAGGAGTGGCCAATGGGGAATTATTGTTTAGTGGACACAGAGTTTCAGTTTTACAAGATGAAAAAGTTCTGAAGATCTGTTGTACAACATAAATATACTTAACACTACTGAAATTGTTAGGATGGTAAAAAAAAATCATATTGTACACTTCAAATATGTGTAGTTTATGTTAATTATACCTCAACAAAGCTGTTAAGAAAAAAATGAGAGTGGAGGGGATAGCTAAATTGGCAAGGGGAATTAAGGAAGACACTTGTTGGGATGAGCACTGGGTGTCACATGTAAGGGATGAATCACTGGACTCTACTCCTGAAATCATTACTGCACTATACGCTAACTAACTTGGATGTAAATTAAAAAAAAAAAAAACAACGCTATCCTAAAAATTAAAAAAAAGAAAGAAATGAGGGGTGCCAGGGTGGCTCAGTCGGTTAAGTATCTGACTTAATCTTGGCTCAGGTCATGATCTCAGGGTTGTGAGATCGAGTCCCATGCCGGGCTCCTTTCTGGGCGTGGAGCTTGCTTAAGACTCTCTCTTTCTCTCCTTCTGCCCTTCCCCCATTTGCGTACGTGTACGCTCTCTCTCAAAAAAAAAAAAAAAAAAAAAAAAAAA